AGTACATGCGCTTTAATTGCTAAGGTTTCTCGCTGGCAAATGTTTTCTTCTAGTGAATTTTTGAATTGCAATGTTACCTGATTAATCCGATTTCTTAGATGTGCCCTTTAGCCATGATGGGTCTTTTCATGGGTCAAGTTAGTGATGTTGTACTGCAGCCCAAAACAAAAGGGATCTTGCAGTTTTTTTGTTTTAATTTTTATGATCAGCAAGGTCCTAAGTCTTAGTTTATGGGCAATTTAAGATCCATAAAATGCATTCTTTGTATTGTTTATGAGGACAAAAGCCCCAGTAATAATCCAACTCAAGACAAATCCACTGTGTCCTCGAGGCAAAGAGGTTCATCCTCTGATAAATGAAGACACGAGTACAGCAAAGCTTGAATTTAAGTTTTCTTCAAGTCTATCAATAGCAGCAGAAATGAGCACTGAATGCAAACACTCCATATCAGTCAATTCCCCCTGGAGCAGTTGCTTAAGCGCTCTGTGTGTGTGTGTGTGTTTGGAATCTTAAAGGCAAGGGATCCACACACACTACCACCACCACACAAACAGCCAGAGAGGCACTGCCACAGAGCGCTGTGGTGTGTTGCAATCGGGACCCAGGCATGCAGTCAGGTCAACAAGTCAAATTTCTCATAAACTGATACCCAATTCCTCTCACTCAGCATTAAGGTGCTAACTCCCTCATTTCATGTGGGCTTTTTTTATGTTTTATGTTGGTGCAGGTTTGAGCATCAGTGTCTGAAGCAGATGTGACATTGGGGTTTATGTACGCCAAACTAAATGAATATTTGCAGACAGGCAGTATTATCTTTATCTTAACCAATGTTGATGCAAGCTTATGGGGTGCATTCAGACTGTGCTGGATTAGCTTCAGGCCAGAGAAAAGGAAAAGAATTGAAATGCAAATAGGATGGGGGATTACTGAGAGAGTATTCACTCCACAAGAGGCTTCTGTATTAATGGATGAAATACTGGTCACAGTTTTTCTTTAAAAAGTGTCTAAGCCCTAATGATTACTCGCTGTATCGTCACTGTTTCAGAGCGTTAAGAACTGCAAAACATGAGCAAATATGAGCCTAAATAAGCAACATGGTGTCATTTTGTAATGACATTTGTTTCAATCATCCTGTAAATAAAAATTAATATGTTGTATTTGGTTAGGCTTCTGCCTTAGAAAATGCTGCCTCTTGTTAACATCAAGCTGAAAAAATGCATGTTTGTTCTCAAGTAGATAAAAGATGTTTTATCTGGTGAGTTGCATTTGATTTTTTTTTTTTTTTTTTTTGTAAGGTGCTAAATGAGAAATGAAATCATCTCAACATCAAACGTATGCTCCCTGCACAGCCAGAAGTGTGAAATCTGTAGCTGCAGGGACGGCACTGACTTGAAAGTGTCTAAATCTGAACTCACTTTTGTAGAACGTCATGATCTGGAATAAAGGTGAGGCACTCTGACACTTACATATGCATACATATATATATATTTTTACTTTGTCTTTGAGTTGTAAGTTGTCTCTTAAATTTCCTTTAAATATATCATTACATAAATTAAGTTACATTTCAAATATTTTTTACATGTTCCTTCAGTTTGTTATTGTGCAATAAAATGAAAATCCACATAGAGTTCATTTAGTTATATTGATAAGAAAAAAAATAAAAAATAAAATAAAATTGTTCCATAAGCCCATGAGGCTGGTGGAGCGGATCAGACACGAGAAGTTGACTAGGTGGAGTCTGCCCTCTGCTGGCCACACTCAGGTATAACACTTTAACCTGCAATAACCTTTTCTCCTTCATCTTGATTTGGGAGCAGAGACAGCAGCCTTTTCTCACAACACCTGCTGGAGCTTATTAGGCCTTTCTGTAAATGAGGAAAGAGGTATTGCATTTTTCTTGTACTGGTATCTCATCACGAGAAGAAATTTTGGAGATTTTAAATTATCTTTTTGAAATTAAGTCTTAGCTTTTCTTTTCCTTTTTGTATTTAATGTGTAAATATGTAACTAATTTGTATTTACTGCTTCCCATCTTGACCAGGACTCCAATGAAAATTAATTTTTAAATCTCAGGGATTTTTGTAACCCCAGGTAAAATAAAGTTTTATTAATAAAAACGCAACTGGCAAAATACAAGGATGTATATTTCAGTTTAATCGGCCAAAGAAAATATTTATTTATTTATTTTTGTTATTTTTTCCCCCAAGTAATGTGGCTGTGGTGAGCATCTTAAATTATGTTGACTCAAGGAACTGAAAAGGTGCATCCACTATTTTTAATAACATTTTAATAAAATCCATCCAGTGATTTGCAAAATATTCTCTTAGCGCTTAGAACGTGTGTTAGAGATCAGTCTCAGTTACTACCACATTAAATATTAGCTCAAYACTTGCAGAATTAACTGAGTTAGATCATTTTTAATGTTTAAGGTCAGTTGGATCTGGCAGCCATTTTTAATAATGCTGTTATTCACAGGCTTATAAAGTRAAATTTATTGAAGGGGGTGAATGCATATTATCTGATATGCTGCTTTAAAGCAGCTCATTACAGCTTTGAGTTAYTGATGTTAAAATAATTCTATCTGCAGGATGTTTTTTTTTTCTTTTAGTTTCCTATGCAGAAKAAGGGCATTCTCAGTGACACAAAAGAAAAGATGAACATGGAGAAGATAAACGTTTTAAGAGGACATCACGTCTGCAGTCAGTATCCCTTATGTTAGATTCATTGCAGCGTTCCAAAACAGGAGTGAAAATAAACCACAGGCAGGTGTTTCTAGCACCTGCACACGTGCTGTGAACGTTTGTCTTTGCTGCAGAGCTGCTGATTTTAGTTGTGATAAACTGTGAATTTTTTTTAAAAAGTACCATTATCAGGTGAGTCTTTTTRTGTTTTGATTGAAAGCCTCTCAGACTTTGGGCCATCAGATTGTATTGTTTTCCCCGAGTGCTGTTGTCAACACACAATTACGCCACATAAACAAGTTCTGAGACCTGGCAATTATTTGCAATAAAAACACATCTGTCCAGCTGCTGTTGTTCTGCTTTCGCTGCAAGCCTCAGTATTCACACGAGGACCGCCGCTCYAGAATCTGCCCCTATTGTGTCTTTTGTACTTTTCAAAAAGTGAGATGAAAACAGCAACAGTGACTCAGTAACCCTACGATCGTGTTACAAAGGAGGGAAATGACAGACAGGTGCATAACCTCGAGATCAAAGCCATCTTCCGACAGCTTAAAGAAGTAAACACGGCTGCGTCAGAAGAAGATAAGTTCTGTTCCAGTTTGAAAGGATGCATTTCCCGGAGTCAGGAGAGAGGTGACCAGGCTGTCACTTGGTATGCCGAGGCGGCTTCGACAGGATTTATAGCATCGCCTGGTTTTGGCAGAATTACTGGGAAATCAGATCGTAAAAAAACAAAACCAAATAAAAGCTGACATTCAAATTTAATCAAAGTAAAAATCTTATGATCAAAGAGAAGCAGGTAAAATTATATAATTATATATGCAAATTTTCTGTTGACCCTGTATAACATTGGAGATCCTTTATATGCTATTTTAATTTGTGAAAGAAAGACATAGCTGAATAATAGCCTATCATTTAGACTATGTCCAGAATAGGGGTGTAAGAAAATATCGATACACTTAAATATCGCGATATTTCATTTCCAGATACTGTATCGATATTCTAAAGTCCTGTATCGATATTTAATTAAGGTTTAAAATGTCAACTTTCCTGCCAGCCGTTCATTTTTATGTTGTAGTTCAGCCTCTGACCACTAGTTGGCAGCAGTGAGCCAG